AGAAAATAACGAAATAGGTTGTAATATATATACAAAAAACCATTCTTTTTTTTTTAACATATTATCAAAAAAATATATATATACATTTTCTTACAAATCCATCTGCACTGCTCCTGACCGGTCTGGTTTGATCTGCTCTGCTATAGCACAGAAAGCACAGAAAGACCAAGACTATAGACTATACAACGGTTTCAATTTTGTTATTAGCTAAACAACCGGTAAAAGTAAAAATAGTTTCACTAAACTTAGATCGCCGTTAATAATCACGAGTAGATTCAAATTCCAATGAGATTAATGTTTATCTGTAAATTAGATATCTTAGTAATCAGATATTTAATTAACCAGATATATATTATAAAAAAAACTGGTTCAATAGAAATATGAATCGTTGGTACGTACATTTTTTGGTTCGGTCGGTCATACGGTGAACATTTTAATTGATCAACCAACAATATCAGAGTTAATTACATATTATTTTGCCATTTCGAACTACAATCACGATCAAAATCGGAAAATTAAACCATCATTGAATAGAAATAGGATGCGCGGGCGTGCATGCATAGCACGATGTTCTTACGTAGTGTCAATCTTTAATAATATTTAATCGGACATGTAGAGCAGATCAGTATGGTATGGGTGTCTGATATGGGGGTGTAAAATATCAAATTTAAAATTCGTCGATATTATCGTTATGTCAGAGTTTATGTCAGAGTTAGAAATTCATACCATACAATTCTGGTCACCCATATAGGTAAGTGCTGGTAAGCGGCACAGAGGCAGGGTGGCATGCCTATCGCTATGGTGTAAAGTTTTTGGACTGTCCTAAAAAATTTAAGCACACTTTCGGATATTCTAAATTTCACAATATATCCTAAATCCAGAAGATTAATTATTAATTTATTAACTAAAATTTAAATTTTCGAATAACGAATATAATCCCAGGTTAAATGTCATGTGATTAAATCATGATTTTCGGATATGATTTGAAAGAAAGCAATCATATTTCGGAGCAGTTCCAAAATTGTCTGGAACCTAAAGTCCGAAAATATTCACAATACCTAGGCATGCCATTTATGGTTACAGGCTAAAATCCTGACAAACCAGGGTCAAAATTCCGACAAGCCTAGGATTCTGTATGTCAGGGTTTTAGCCTGTCACCACCATTTATATATATTCCGAAAGGTTTCCGTATCGAAAGTAAATTCAAAAAGGAAAATTGGAGCAATGCTCCAAAGTATTCCGAAAGGTTATTTTATAGTATATAGACGAGTATATCTATTTGTGGTTTAATGGTTTGTCGGGGTGGCTATATGGCATTTATCAAGCGTGTGTAATAATTGTCGCAGCTTATAATGAAAACATGAAATTTGGGGCCTAAAATCCACTAATATTCTTTTATTTAAAAATCCTAAACCTAAATCCTAACAAAAATGCACGTAAATTTCTAATTAAAATAAGGAAAATTTTCATTTAAATCTGCCACAATAATTACTTAGCATTAGGTAAGAGATAAATCATAACGATAAGTAATTATTATTTCATAATGATGTGTCATTTTGGTAACAAATCCTCGTGTTGTTATCGGCCTATAGCTTAACTCAGAATTTCGCATTACCGTTCGTTATACGTAATGTTACTCATGTTATAATTATGGAAACCATGGTTCAAGCCATAGCTCTAACGGCCGAAGTCATGGATTTCAAAAGCCGAGCAAAACAATTCAAGCTGAACGACTCCACATTAATTGAAGTAATCTTTCTAATGCTGTAATGATTATTGAAATTTCATTGTGCGAAATGCGGACAGCTAATCAAAGTAGCTATGAAAAAAATAATTGGCTTCGAACATATTTTCTTCATCGATGATAACTCACTGCGTAAAATATTATTGGTAAAATTGTTATTACTATAAAGTTCGGAAAAGATTGAGAAATAAGTAGGGTAGTGTTCATTTTCCGAGTTTTACGGTACAAACAATAATCTCCAAAATAGCCAGTTTGTATACGTAGAAGTGACTGTATGCAAACTTCTAGACGAAAAAGTTGACACTTAAATATTTTTGGTATATGTATGCATTGTGCATATATATATATGAGTTGTACAATAATAATAATTAGCTTTAACGCTAGCAATATAACTTATAGATATATATATTTATTAACGGGACGGACAAAATAAAATATGTGTGCACGTGTTACAAAGGTCTATTAGTTAAACAATTAAGGAAAACAATAATTTAATCGTTACATAAAGCATTCAATCATATATGAGAACCAATAATACATTTATTCTATTTCCATTCTAACATTATTAAAATAAGGTAAGATCATCATACATATCATTTTTCAAGGAAAGAAAAGCGCCCGTGTTTCAAAATGTTTTAAGGCTTAAACCTTTATGTCTTATGTCTTATTGCTCGCATTTATATATATGAATTCAAATTTATCATGCTTTCTTTTTTTAACGTTAGGCAAATCGCATAAAGGCATTCAATAAATAATAATAATAATAACCGGAAAGTAAACAAATTAAAGTCGCACATTACGTTCTTAAACAAATTACGTATAACGTAATAAACATTGCACAATATATGATATCTTATTTGGTCTTTTAAGATCCTTTTTCTTACAGCTTGGCCTTCTCCCTGGTTTTCTCTCTTAACGTACCTACTTTTACACTCCTTACTATATAAGCGAAAAAATCATCCTTTTATTTAATACCCAAGCGGTAGTTTTCTTTCTTTGGTTAGATACCATCCTATGGTTAGATACCATATTATTATAATTAATAGACGTCAGCAAATACAAATTTAGCTTTAATGAGTGATTATATTTTCCTCGGTAATGATTTTTTTATTTTTTTTTTAATCATGGAATAATTATATATATATTTATATATATAGTAGTTCTTTATATGCTGCTGCAAAATATAAAGAGTGGTGAAAATTTTTATTTGCAGGCAAAAAGAATTTACACTTCATACGTCATAATTTAAAAAGAGAAAACCAAATATGAGGCCTACGCTAACATAATTTTTACCAAATTACAGAACGATCAGTACATGATATATATGTATGGATATGGTTTATTTTTCATGTTTGGAGAGTAAGTTTATAAAGTCTTATCGGTAAAAAATAAAGTTGCCACAATGAAACTTAACAGAATTAATGATCAATTAAAATTCAAATAGTGTGACCGATTTGCAGCATTGAAATGGAATCGAATACGTTCGTTAGAATTAAAGTCTTACATTACAATAATCATATTGTTGGCATTACCGCTTGGATCATTTTATGATATTTTCTTGGTAAATATATATATATATGTATATATATATATTGTATGCTTTTCAATTATACAATATTTCCTAATCTAAATGAACGAAATTTTATATGGTAGACAAAAATAATATATTCAAATGGATCATATATTCTTCCTAATGCTCCAAGTTTAATGGTTCAAGACGATCCTAATTCCTGGCTTGATGATAGTTCAAAGTGGATTTCTCCAGTTTCTTATGCCTTGATGGTTGAATTTAGTTTTCAAATGTAAGTTTTTTTGTTTTCTATATACTTACTGTTATATGCGTTGTTATTATATTTATTAAACATATTTTTATTAGTGCAATTTTATTCCTATTGCAATGTTTCTGGAATTATGTTTCTAATTCCATCGCAAAAGCTTCATTGATGTCAAGATTCGAATTTAAACTATATGTTTTCTTGGGAGTTGTATCTGCGTTCTTGTTCCCAGTACTACAAGCTACGTTCAGTAATATTGCCACGTTAAGAGAGGTAACATTTATTATTATAAGTTATATTTCACATGTATCTGCAAGATATTTTTTTAATACCTTTCTATACAGGCTATCCCACAATTAATTTATGGTGCTCAGTTAATAGTACTTACTGTGTTGGGTATCCAAACTCATTATCGATTCATAAAATTAATCCAAATATCTTATCACAATAAAAATGACCCTCACGTGATAACGAAAATACATTATTTTATCGATATGAATAAAGTGTTAACCCTCACTTTGTTTGTTACGGGCGCAAGCTTTCTTATTTTGGGTAGCGACGCTCTTATAATTTCAAGACCCATCACTAATAGTAGAGTAGCAAGGTATGTATTTTTTTTAGTTTATTTATTTAAAAGACTTAAAATAACTTGCATACATGCGTACATACATACGCATATACATGCATAATACCCAATTTATATATTGATATATATATATATATATATCTATTTAGTGACATATTGGTTGCTCACATAAATTTTGCGGCAATAATCGAATGGCTTGTTCTTATTTTGATAATCTATCCTCGAAAAGGTTTTATAGGAACTGGTTCAGGTGGAAATTCTTTACATAGTACAATACATGACTCTATGAGTTCACAACCTATAAAACCATATACTTCGGGGTTAGATGTCGATAGAGATTCATATGCTCGTCTCAGTTCATATAACAATAACACTGATCGGTGTATTGAATCCGATAAATATTCTTCAACAAATGATTCTTCGTCAAATGAAAGCCCAATTTCTTCTCAAATGCTACCAGCTGCTCCAGCTCCTATAATTTCTCCCCCTAATTCAATATCTTCTAATTCTGCGCCTTCAATTGCTCAGAAAACAAAATTGAAGCGTAACATTTCATTATCAAGAGATGGAAAAATGGTATATGGTGATACTGAACCACTGGGGAAAGTAGGCGGTTCGGAATTTGTAGCTGTGGAAAAAGTTGATGATCCTAGTATTATACCTTATTATTTTTCGCGAGACACAACTGCTCAACAGTTTTCAAAATCAGATGAACATGATTCAAGAAAATCGACTCAGGAAGAACGTATGCTAGTATTACAACGTCAACATGACGAATTTAATGCTTTAAGAATGAATGCTATGAGATCACAACAAAGTTTGTTGCTCAATGATGAAAATAGGAGTGTATCAAGTTCTGCTATGAGATCACAACAAAGCGTGTTGCTAAATAACGATAGTAAAAGTGTTTCAAGCTCTGCCAATACTTTCATTGAAGATCAACAGGCTTTCTCAGCATCGTCTCATGCAATAAGAAACTCTGAGGTCTCCTCAGTGTTATCTAACGCGAAAAGGAACTCCGAGGCCGTCAGCTATGAAGAAAGTGATGACGGCTATTTTTATGCTATGTGATCTAAACAAACAAAAAAAAAATAAAAAAAAAATACATTTGACAGAAATGCAATGAGAATTTTTAAATAACCCAAGGATAATTAATATTTTCCATCCTCCAAAAGCTTATTACTAATATATTTTATTATTATTATTCTTTGTAATTATAATTTGAGTCTTTATTGTTATGTTTGGTTGTTTTGAATGTCTTTTTAACAAAAAAAAATAAAAATAAAAACAAAAACACATTTAGTGTTGCGAGTTTTCGTTTCTAGTATTCTCCAATTGGATTTTAAATTAGTAAAAGTTACGGTAGATGTCGGATGCTTGAGTATTTTGAGCACAAAAGTGCCATGCAAGAATACGTATATGCGTAGTTAACAAAACAATTATTTCATTTTTCATTGGATAACTTGAGTATTTTTGTTTTCTTGCTTAGCTTGCTTCTTCTTCCTTTCTGATGTCCAGCTTTTTGGCATCTTCCTGTTTTAAGATCTATTAGCCCCGAAGAAGGAACCAGTCATGCCCTTTCCTTAATTTGAGCAGAAAAACCTGCGATATAGAAATTTTTGTTAGTAAACTAAGCAAAGACTTCTGTACGAGAGATAGGTAGAGGTGTTACCCGGGTCGGTTGACCCGTACGGGTTACCCGACCCGGCGGGTCACGAGTCGAAAATTACTCTAACCCGGTGCAGGGACGCAGAAATTTTTCGAAAGCAACTTTTCAAAAGAAAACAAAATTTTTTGCCCCAATCGAAATTTTTCACAATTTTTTGCTC